TTATTTTTATCTTGTATTTCCCGTCTACTGCGTAGATGTTGCCTGCCATGTCACAAGAATTTCACTGCTCTGATGACGCTAAGTTATTTGGTGCATGTGACAATAAACTTTGATTTGATTTGATTACTGTCCGAAGCGGCAGAATGAAATGAGATCAGTTTCATCAAAGTGTGTTTGTCTGTTCTGTTGGTTTGTAACAGGTGCTTTCTGATCCTGTTCCAGTGTCTGTGTTCATGAATCAACTTTGGTTTCCTGCTTTTCAAAGAATCCCTCTTGACTCTGCTTTGTCTGTGTTTTTCCAAATCAAAATGACACCTGAAGAGTCTCTGAGACGAAAGTAGACTTACCTTGAAGGCAATCCTCTGCCCCACCGGAGGGGGGGCGGCCAGCAGGGGCAGAGAGCTGTAGTCCTGTTTGGGGCCACTCTCCACTCCATTCTACAAACAGAGACATGCAGGAGACATTACACAGTATTTCAGAATGGACAGGTAATAGAATAACACACATTGCTTGTGTAGTATAACTGTTCTGCCAATAATAAAATAATTGGACAGAGGGAGGACTTATGTATTTTGAGATTTTAGTCATTTGATTTCCAAAACTTTGGCGAAAACCCTCCCCTGAATAGTGCTTGTCCAATCATCGTTAAGCAAATATAATCAGATTTTTTTGGGGGGGGTAAAATAGTTTACTAAGACCATGGTAATTGCTGTGGAAACTCAAGGAGTTCCTGCAAAGATTCCTGGTTCCAGGGGAACGTTCCTGTGGTCAGAACAAGGCTATAGATGTATAGGTGGGAGCGTACACATGCAGACAAACCTGGACGACCACTGACTTGTTGCTCAGTGAATCGGTCTGGTAGCTTGGCTCCTCGGATCCATTACAGCTTAACTCAAAGCTGCCAGTCTGACCTCTGACGAACCCTCTACCTTCACCCCGTCCCCTGTCTCCATGACCACCACGCCCGCTTTTTCCACGGGTGCAGCCTCTCCAAGGTGACCGAAGCCCCCCCACACCGAACCCTGGAGGCAGCATCGGTTTTCGGATGACCAGCTGGATCTCCTCTTCCTGGTCTGAGTTACAAGGCTCCGCGACTTTGCCAACAAGAGGCGGGGCCGCGCGGTCAGCCTGCGTCTGTGCACAGGTTGTGGACTGCGGTGTGGAGGACGCCTGCTGGGATTTGGGTTGGTTGTTTATTCTGCTTTTTGGAGATGAAGGGGTCGAAGGTTTGTTTTTTGCTGGGACTTTTTTGACGCTGGGGGCCTCATCGGAGGAGGAATCCGTTTCTGAAGACGATGAAGAGGCAGGTCGTGATTTTGTTATGGCAGGTTGTGATTTTGTTATGGTGGGTTTAACGACTGGATGTGCCATGAAACTAGCAGAGGTGGACGCGGGTGTCTTGGGGGCTGGTTTTGGAGCAGGTGCTCTTTTGGGAGCTTCATCTTCATCACTACTGCTGCTGCTACTGGAATCTGAAGAAGACGCTGTGGGCTTTTTGCTTTGTATTTTTCCTTGTGCTGCTGGGGGCTTCTTGGGTCTTTTAACTGGCTGCTCAACACTATCTGAATTTTGTTTTGTGGATGGAGCTGGTTTGGGGATGGCAGCAGGGCTCTTTTCCTTGGCCTTCTTCATCTTCTTTTTCTCTGCGTGCTTTTCTTGTGACTTCTTACTCCTCTTGTCCCCTGACGCCCGTTTGGCCTCACCCTTAAGACTCTCCTCGCTCCGTTTTTTCCTCTTCTTTTCCTTCCAGTCCACACTCTCTTCAGTTCCTCCGGGCCCATCGTCCTCTTTGGGTCTCTGTCTCTTTTTACACTTTTTACTTGATGTGTCTGGAGAGCTGCTGTGACACTTCACCGGGGGCAGATACTCCACCTTCACCCTGGAAAACAGGAACACAGTATTAAAAGAGACAGAGGCAAATCTTTTACGTTTATAATTTCACAAAAGGCAAAGGAAGTTATTTGAAATTCTTAATGACATATAGACATCAGGAAAATTTGCAAGATGAACATAAGAACAGATTCTTAAAAAACAAACTTCAAATATTTCACAAGGAACTGGGTCATTACTTCTTATCGCGGAAACTAATGGAGAAGAAGAATGCTGTTAAACTCTATTGAAGAACTTCAGCCCCTCTGATAAAGAAAGATCTTCTGCACCGATGTCTGATGAAGATGGCTGAATTTCTATTCGGTGTTCACACTGGTGAATTAAACAATTAGCTCGATGAGCCTCATGTCATTTGACGGATGCTTTTATCCAACGCTACTCACAATTAGTGAATTCAACATCTATGAGGGGCCATTTTGGGGTTCAGTATCTTGCCTAAGGACACTTCGACATGCAGATGGGGAAGACTGAGGATCGAACCGCAGACCCTCTGGTTGGAGGACGACCACCCTCAGTTGTCCTTACTTGAATATATGAGTACAGGGATCTGTATACAGAGACGGTTCTTGGCCTACATACTTTCAACAACTGTTTAAAGGTGCAGTGTGTAGAATTTAGAGACATCTAGTGGTGAAGGTGCATGTTGCAGCTGAACACCCCTCACCTCACCCTCTCCTTCCAAACATGAACCTGTGGTAGCTTCAGTTGTCATAAAAACTCAAAAGGTGTTAAGTTTGTCCAGTCTGGACTAATGTAATAAACATGGCGGCCTCCGTGGATCCGACCGCTCCAGATGACAAGATAAAGCATGTGAATATAAAGGGCCCAGTTTAGGGTAAAGAAAACGACAATTCATACAATTTAGGTGAACCATCGCTAGGATTATTTTCTATTCAATTTCAAATAGCTCCCTTCCACCTAAACCTTGCAACCTTTTTATGTTGTCCTTCCCAGTTCATTCCATCCTACTTGTGCTCTCTTGTTCTCTCTCGGGCTGTTCCCTGTTCAATGCCATGCTTGATGTGCAGTGTATCTCTGCAGGGGCCTGTTGAAGAGAGGCTCCCGTCACTGTTGATGAAAAACGCGCGCACCTGACGCTGTCGTTGTCCCGCACCACGAAGATGTGCTCCGTGTGCGGCAGGTAGCAGTCGTCTATGAAGAGGCTCAGGATGGTTCCGGAGCTCAGCTCGAACTTGTCCCTGATGACGCTCTCCAGATCCGCCACCACGCGACACGCCTTCAGGTCCACGAGCAGCCAGCTCATGCGGCAGTGCATCACGGCCGGGGGAGGGTAGTCGAACACCAGGCGCACGCGGATGAAGCCGTTGCTGTTGGCAGCCATGACTCCACCAAACACACACCGCACCGGCGCTCCACCGGAAACAGAAAGGACCGCTTTTCCGGTCAGGTTTTTCACAGCAAGAGCGTTGGACCCTTGAGAGGTTTATCGGTCTCCTCTTCAACCTTTGAACACACACACCGGAACAAGTATCAGCAAAGGATTTACTGTTTTCATTATTATTGTTATAATTATCATAAGTATTACTGTTGTTGACAATCAAATACTGTAAAATATAATCATCAAAACCATAACAAAATGTAATCGATAATAATGAT